GGACGGTGCTCATTTAAGACAGAACCAGAGAACTGTCACCTCCTCAACTTTCAGTTCCCAGAAAACAGCATGCAGGAGAAGTAAAGGGTTTGGCACTGGGATATACTTTACCCCGGAAATGTCCCCACAAGTAAAAGCCCTGTAGACATAGGGATAGGGAGCATCATAACTATGCATGCTGGAGTTCTTTTAGCAAGTCAGAGACAAAGCAGCCAAAACAGAAGAAAATGCCAAGAAGACCTATCAGTAATTGAGGAGACTTAATGACCAAAGGTTTCTGGGAACTGAGTGAGTTGAGCTACAGATTTGAGAAAGAATTAACCAGGGAGCAGTGACCTGAGGCCAAGAGATGACTATGCATTCTTCCTTCACTGTTCTTTCTCAGAGAAGAGTAGATAACTTGGTAATGATCTACAATGGGAATGAAGTTTTAGAAAAGTTCAGTTCAGAAAGGTTCAGGAAAAGCATGGGATCTATGAAAAGAATTGCAGAAGGTTAAAAAGCTGAGTGAGGGACTATGGGATGATAAGATGAAAAGAAAAGATGAAATAGCACAATTGACTAGGGTTAACAGGTATTGACCTCAAGTTACAATGGATTTCAGTTCTTGCTCTTCCGTTTGTTAGATGTGTGGCTGTTTCAGTCAACTTGAGCTGTTATAACAAAATATCTTGTTATAAATATCATAGATTGGATGGCTATAACAGAAGTATTTTTCACAGTTCTGGAGGCTGGAAAATCTAATGTGAAGGCATTAGCTTGATAGCCTTCTGGTGAAGACTTTCCCGGGTTCATCGCTGACACCTCATTGTGTCTTCACATGTTGGGAGGGTTGAAGGATCTCTCTGAGGTCTCTTTTATAAAAGCATTAATCTCATCCATGAGCACTCCATCCTCATGACATGATCACCTCCCAAAGTCCCATAATATCTGGCATTAGGATTCCAACATTTGAATTTGGGGTGGAAACATTCAGTTCATAGCAATGGATTTGAGCATATCACTTAGCCAAAAAGTTTTAGCTTCTTCATTTATAAAATAGGAATAATGAACCCTGTTTCATAAGGCTACTTTGAATTTTAATGTACACAACATAAATGATAATGAGAAAGTATGTGAAAAGCCCTGGCCCAAGGCCTACGCATGCAGAAATATTGAATAAAAAATCGTCATTATTATTACTAACAAGCTCAAAAAAAAATGGGCACTGTTGGAGGCAAAGAAAGGATTACAAATAAACTAAAAACATAATCAATAATTATCTACAGTATAGATGTTAAAGAGCAGAAATAGAGCCTCTCTGCTGGCACAAGGGGGTAAGACGCAACTTATGAAGCTATCTGCAGCCAGTGCAGCACGAGTTCAATCCCCGCCTGACAGGGAGCTACTCACATGGCACACCCCACACACCTCTGGCCTGTACCCACTTCTTGTATGCATAAATAAATAAATCTTTAAAAATAAATAAAGAGCAGAAATAAAATTGTAAAGATGTCTAACTGGTAATGCAGACGAGCTCCTAATCAGAGATATCTTTGAAAAATAAATCAAGCAGAACAGAAGTGAATAATCTAAAATATGAATAAGGAAAACTTCCTAGAGTGGAAAATTTTAGCATGTAGATCAAAGGGGTCACTATATTTTAGGCAAAATTAATTTTTAAATATTTTAAATGCCACACCTAGATATAATTCATCAAAAATTTAAACTATGGAAGCCAATTTTTAAAAAATAATAGTTTCCAAACAGATTTCAGGGGCTATCTTAACCAGAGAGATTTTCCAAACAATCTGTAAACTGTTCCAGTGCATAGAAAGATGAAAAAACCTTCCCAACTATTTTATAAAGTGAACATAAACAAGACAATAAAACCTCTGAGAAAAAAGAAACTATCAACCCCCATTTTCACTTTTGAATGATGCAAAAATCCCAAATAAAACCATAGCAAACTGAATTTAGCCATGTAATAAAATATATACACATAATAAAGTTAGATTTACCCATATAAAGCAAAGATGGTGCAAGACTAATATACATATCAATATGTCACAGTGTCAGAATACTATAAGGTAATACATTTTCTGTGAGTAATTCTAAAAATTACTTTTGAGAATTTGAATAAATATAGGATATATATGAAATAGTCAGCTAACTATTTAAAATATAGCTAAGTATACACATTTGAAATTATATAATGAAAGAGATATAGTGATCTTAAAGTATTGCTTTCCTTCAACCATCACATGGCATGAAAAAAATTTTTTTCTACCTCTTCCCATGCATACTTGATTTCAATAGCTGCTATCACAAAGTCATTTTGGGATACTTAAGCTTTCTAAAGCACCATCTTCACTCCTGTCTGAGTACTTTTCAGTCTAAGTATGATACATTAATTCACATATACTTTCATTTCAGGAAATCATTTATCCTTGTATAAATGTGATCCCAACAACAATGGCTTGTTTTATAAACCTATAGCTACCAATTCTTGAAACTGTGAAGACAATTCCCGGGAACAGTTACTAAATCAGTATTAAATGTCTTGGTCACCTTTTTTATTGATTCTTTCTAGTGACTTCTATAAGCATTCAATACTAGCACTGATCAAAGTACTTTACCAGGATGTTCAAAGTAAAGTAAAGTGAGAAAGACTCTCAGAATATGAGAGCTCCCATAAGGACTTATGTATAAAATGCCTCGCTCTTTCCTGAGGGATAAGAGTTTCAGGGAAAATGTTATCTTATAGTCAACTTTTTCGCAACAGGGGATATTTAGAAAATTTTTAGTCCTTACAGCACTAAAGCAATTGATCAAGGCTGCTCAGAGTAGATGTTACTCTGCCCTGCCTAAGATCTCAATAGATCAATAAAGCAGTACCATGGGAATAGCTCTGCTGGGACATGAAGTCCAATAAGAACATTCAGGTCTTCATCTCAGAGGCAGGATACTGCCTGCCTGATTGTGAGACCACCGGTAAATTACTTAATCTCTTTGTATTTCTTTTTCTCATAGCTATAAAATGGTATGATAATAGTGCCTACAAAATTAACAAAATTAATTCATGTAAAGCACTTAGAACTATGTACTGCACCTAGTAAGCATGTGATAAATACTAGATTAAAAATAAACTACTCCTAAAAGAAACCATGCCTAATTAAAAATAAAACTACTCCTAAAAGAAAGTACCTCATATAGTCACTTTACAGTAAAGCTCACTAGATGACAAGTCTTGAGTTTCTCATCATCTTAAGAGTTTCCAGTCAAATGTTTTTAAGTTTTATTCAAGAATCACTGGGGATTAGAAGAAGCCATCTTCATGAAAGACTGATGAAAACAAAGACAGTAATTAGACCATAGGAGGAAGAGAGACATGTTGGAAGTACAAGCAAACATACATATACATTTACATACATACACACACCTACATACATACTTGCACATATATAAAATTAATTACTACAGATCAGGCTCCAGAGAAGTAAATTACTATGCATAGAGTAAATACAGAACTTTACAGAGAAAGAATTATAAAATATAAGAAACAAGTCTTGATAATTGAAATTATTGCGGTTGCAATGAATTCAATTAAAAGGGTCACAAAATAATATTAAAGTAATTTCCCAAATAGTGGAAAAAATAAGGGAGGAAAGACCCTAAGGCAGTTAGAGGATTCTAATTCTAATTCTTTTGCTCTTTTTTAAAATTTTTAAAAAAGATTTTATTTATTTTTGCATGGAACTGGGGTACAGGTCAGAGGTGCAGGGGGTATAAGGACTCACCAGAGACAAGAGTGGGGAGCAGAGCAGGCAGATCTACTGAAATACACTGCTAGGGGGAGCCGGTGAGACAGAGATCTGCTGAGACATGTGGATCAGCAACCTGGCAGGGGATCAAATGCAGGCCCCAGGGGTGATAGTGCTGAGACTTAACCCCTAGGCCACCAGGGAGGCTCCTAATTCTCTTTCTTTTTTTTTTTAAACTTTTTTTTTTTTAAAGATTTATTTATTTATTTATACAAGCACTGGGTACAGTCAGAAGCGCGGGAGGGTGAGAGAATTCACCAGAGCCAGAGCAGGGAGCAGAGCAGGCAGAAGGACCGAAATACACTGCTGAGGGGAGCAGTGGGCGGCAGGAGAGGTCTGCGCGCCATGTGGGACCCTCCTCTGGTGGCCGGGGAGCAGCCGGGGATCGAACCTGCACGGCAGAGGCTGCGGGCAGCTTCGCAACCCAGCGCTCAACCACTGCGCCACCGGGGAGGCCTTAATACTCTTTCTTTGTAGATAGAATAGGACAAAGGTGTGATGGAGATCCAAACACTTGTGAAATAAATAAGAAAATTTTCTGTAAAAAAAAAAGATCTTCGTTTTCAGATAGAAAATGCTCTCAGAGTAATCCGCTTAATGAATAAACCAAGATCTACACTGAAAGTACATCAAAGGGAAACTTTAGAAAACTATGTCTGAACGGAGGAGGTAAATCACATAGATAATAGATGAGAAAGCAGAATGGCCCTGAGAAAATAAAAGCAGTTTTCAAAAATTTTCTTTTTTCTTCCTTGTTGTTTTTTCCATGATCAACATGTCTGACTTTTATTGTCAAAAAACAATCTTAATACAAAAAAAAAAAAATCTGTACAAAGAGATTCTAGTCTAAACTTAAATTGCCATTTCTTATCTGTCTTCTTAAAGTCACAATCTGTCTCTCTGCAAAGATACAGAGACCCCTCTGATCACAGAAGTCCTATTCAGTGAGAATGCCTGGGCTGCAGAGATTGCTGAGAACAAGTCACTCTAGGGATTCACTGCCAAGCTTACCTGCCTATAAATTTATTCAGGGAGCAAGTGCTTGTTTTCAAGCATATTCCCAGAATATTGTGACATCTGAAAGAATTGGGGAAGGCCCATAATTCTTTTCCCCTAGAAACATTTTTCTATCCATTATTATCATGTCTCCACTCTTGCAGTTAGCATTTATTTTAATAAGAAACAGCTAAATGCTCTAATTTGTCTTCATTCCATTTATCGAATACCATGTCTCAGGCTTTGCCAAAAGATGATTTTTCTATTGACAGACTCACCTGTGGAGAAGATGAACACTGTGTTGTTCCAGAGTCCATGGCTTTTTAAGGCTGCGGTGACATTTCCCACTGCTTCATCCATAAGGGACACCATTCCTGCATAGTAATGCCTGTTTTTATCTTGGATGAAGTCATATGGCTTCAGGTACTCCTCAGGGACCTGAAGGGGTTCATGGACAGACTGGAGAGCAAGGTAGAGAAACAGAGGCTGGAAAGAGAGTTTGCAATCAGTTAAGAGAGCATGGAAGTACTGAATATATAGAGATAAGTCCAGATGTATCAGTCAATAAAAGTAATATCAAGACAACCCATAGAATGGTTAGAAAATATTTGCAAATCATACATCTGATAATGGGCTTATATCCAGAATATATAAAGAACTCTTACAACTCAATAATAAAGGACAATTAATCCACTTACAAAACAAGCAAAGACTCAGACTATCTTTAGCTCACTAAAGAAAATATACAATAAGTCAAAAATCAAAAATGGTCAATAAGCGCATGAAATGATGCTCAACATCATTAGTCATTAGTGAAATGTAAATCAAAATGATGCTGAGATAGCACAATAACACTCACTAGGTAGTTATAATATAAAAACCAGAAAATAACAAATGAGTATGTAGAGAAATTGGAACACTCATTCATTGCTGGTGAGAACGGGAAGTGGTACAGCCAGTTTGAAAAACAACTTGGTAGCTTCTGAAATTATAAAATATAGTTACCATATAACCCAGCATTTCCATTTCTAGAGAAATGCAAGCATATATCCACATAAAAATTTGTTCATGGATGATAACAACAGCATTATTCAAAATAGTTCAAAAGTGAAAACGTCCAAAGTGCCTACCAATTGATGATTGGATGAAGAAAATATGGTACATTTTCAGCAATAAATGACTATAAAAGGAATATTGTACAGCAATAAAAAGGAACGAAATATTAACATATGATACAATACAGACAAACCTTAAAAAAAAACACTCTATGCTATAGGAGAGGAGTCAATCACAAAAGATGACATTTTATGATTCCACTTATATGAAATGTCCAGAGTAAGCAAATCTATGGAGATGGAAAGAAGATTAGTTGTTGCCTGGAGCTGTAGCAAGTTGGGGGAAAGGAATGACTAGAGAGTACTGATAAGGACAAAGTTTCTTTTTAAAGTGACAGCAATGTTTTAAATCTAGATTGCAGTGAACTTACCACTGAATTGTATGCTTTAAATGGGTGGATTTTATGGTATGAATTTTTATGTCACAAGAAAAATATTAAAATATAACAAAAGGAAAAAATAAATAAATAAAAGCCAGAATCCTAAAATGGCCTAGAAGGAACTGATGCAAAAGAATAATATCAATAATAGCAATCATATATTAAATGTTGTCTATGTGCTATATATACTCTGATATTGAGTATATAATAGAATATTTACTATCTCATTTAATACTCAAAACCACCCCCCTATGTTATATCCATTTTACAGGTAAACTTCCTGAGACTTAAAAAGGTTATATGAATTACTTAAATTCACATTAACTGCCGTGAAATTTCCTACTATAGAGCCTTCTATTACAGTGTGGATATGTACCAAAACATGTTTTAGCTGAAAAGTAATTTTCCCTCTTTAGGAGAAGGTTAGAGGGTTTTGATATTTTAATGAGAAAACAAGTGAATGCCATGCCTTATAGGAGTCTTTGATGTAAGACCAAACACAAAGTGCATTTAATTCCTGGAAACTAAGGAGTGTGATACATTACCCCAATGTAACATTAACATTTAACATTTAACATTAGTGGTATTCCAGGTCAGCCTCTCCTTTTTAGTGAGTCTTTCTGAAGGCATTCTCTTCATTGTGCTCCTACAGTATTCTTTAATGAGTTGACAACCCTCAAAAAGACAAAAACTGTTTCAACTCTAGAGTGAACATATAATTCTGTTAAAGTATTTGAGATATTTAAATATCATAAGTGACTAGAGAAGAGTTAGAGAACAGACAGGGCGCAGGAGGGCCTCATATTTCATCTTTGTTGATAACTGTTTTCAATTACATATTTTATATCTCTGTAATGGATGAAGGGATGTTAATATATGGAGCTCAAACAGATATCTAAAAGATGTAGTTCAGATCTTTAGAACTTAGAAACACTTTTTCTCAAAAATCAAAATGGTTTTTTTAAAAAAGCTGTCAAATATCAGAGCTATCACTTTAAAACTTATTTCTGTAAAGATGTGGGTGACGGAGTGAAAAATCATGATAATGTAGAACCTATGCTTCATTTGTACATTATTTCCACAGGGAGACATTCCAAATTCCAATTCCAAAAGACAATACTAAAAATTTTGACACCACTTTAGCTCTTCCTCCACTCCCCTTTAACATACACACTTTTTACTCCAGTCATACAACTCATATAGGAATTCTGTGTTCCTCCAGACTCTGAAGAGGGGTGACCTGCCATGGTGACAAGGAAGGACCCTGGGATGAGATGTTCTGAGGGGAAAGGATGAAGGTATAGGGGCTAGACAGTGCAGTGAGGGTCTCCAGCACGAGATTAAGCCAACTCCAGCCACCAGCCAAGGTCTGGGTGGGACTAGGATTAAAAATTGGAAGGGTGCAACAATTCACAGCCCACATGAAGTTTTAAAATAGAAAATATTAGGGCCTCCCTAGGGGTACAAGGGGTTAAGCACTGCACTGTGGGGCTGTTGGCAGCCTCTGCAGTGTGAGTTCAATCCCAGGCCTGGCCCGGGAGCTTCCCACATGGCGTGGTGGACCTCTCCTGGCTTGTCTGCTGCTCCCCTCAGCAGTGTGCTTCAGTTTGCCTGCCTGTTCTGCTCCCTGCTCTGCCTCTGGCCTGTACCCCTAGCTCTTGAATGCATAAATAAATAAATCTTAAAATAAATAAAATAGGAAATATCACATAAAAATATTCTTTGTTTTTAGTTCCTTGAAAAGTTAGAACCTCTAGCAACCCCATACCCATACTCCATCAGGTAACAAATGACTGCAGAAACAGAGACCCCCCTCCCAAGTGCACTCCAACTTGCCAGGCTCTCCACTATTCTACTTGAGTGGCTTCTTTCAGTCAGGTTAGCAGCCTGGTTCTGGTAAACATGAGAGGTGATGACGCTGGTCTGGATTCCCTACAGTGGTCGGGGTAGGAGAGTGAGAGAGGGAATTCAGCTGCGTCATCAGTGGCCACATGTCAACCCACAGGGTGAAGGAGAGACAGGGAAGGGGGCAGATAATTCCACGTCGGCAACTGATCCTTAGAGGCAATGGCCAAAGTAATGGTGGGGAAAAAGTCCTTATAACCACACCAGGGGAAATAATTATGACTCTGGGACCATCATTAAGGGGTCTTAGAAGTATTCAAGAAATCATTCTACTCACTTTGTTAAATAGCAAAATTACCTGAAAAATCTATCCCATCAGTATTCCTTAGTGATGAAAGACATGACCATCACTCTTGAGGGGTTAAAATCATAGAACTGCAGCAATTGTCCTGTTTTTTCCCAGTAATCAGGCAAAAAGGAAAAAGTGAAGCCCAGCCAAGCCACAGGTCATGAAAAGACCTCAAGCTGCCTACTGACCAGGACCTAATACTGTGTAAGTATAGATAAAGGCAGTCCTTGGTGGGTCTCCCTGGTGGCGCAGCCAGTTGAGCGCAGCGCTGTGAAGCTGTCTGCAACCTCTGCAGTGCGGGTTCGATCCAGGCCAGCCAGGGAGCTACCCACATGGCGCGGCAGACCTCTCCTGTCTCTCCTACTGCTCCCCTCAGCAGTGTATTTCAGTCAGTCTGCCTGTTCTGTTCCCTGCTCTGTCTCTGGTGGGTCCTCTCACCCTCCCGCACATCTGGCCTGTGCCCCAGTTCTTATATAAATAAATAAATCTTTAAAAAAAAAAAAGGTCAGTTCTTGGACCAAACGAGCTATATTCCTCACACCCCCTCCATTATCAGCAGTAGTCTAGAGGTATTTATGGAGGGGCAAACAGTCATACACACCTCCTATGGTACTGGGTCACTGGGACCAGACTGATGGGTAGTGCAGTCCTCTTAATGAAGTGAGGACCAATGCAACACATTTCAGAGTAGTTCCATCCAATATTGTAAAAGTAGTGTCAGCACTGACAAGGTGAACTTTATTCATGAGAGTGCTCACTCCCTAAGACAGCTAGATGGGAAACATTTCTACACAACTTTTAAATTGAAAAAAGAAAAACTGAGAGTCCTGTTCTTGGTATTTTATGCTGGCCCAATTTAAGGAACATTTAAGTAGGACTCTAGGGTTGTCCAAACACAGCTAGGACCCCTCAGTGAACAGCTGTAGCTAAATTCCCCACACCTATCATCCAGGACCCTAGCTCACTGTTAGACTAAAGCAAGCAACCTCCATCCTGGGGATGTGTTCATCATTACTATGCTATCTACTGACTTGAGTTTCAGTCCAATAACGCCTTTGCCCTTGCAGATTTGCAGGCCCAACCTGACCTTACTAACATCTTGATTCAAAACACTGGAGTCCTGGCATCAACTTTGATGTTTATGGGTTTATGCTGACTCTTGTTCTTTCTTGGGTCCAGATCCCTGCTCTGATCAAACCAGATACATTCAACTGACACCTTTTTAAAAAAAATTATTTTTAACTGAGGTAATCTGGGGTAACCCCTCTAGGTATTACCACCATAGTGTAACCACTACTAGCTCACCTATATTCCACTACCATATACCATTTTGCTTTCTTCCCTCTTTGTTTTTTCCCTCTCCCTACTCCCTTAGTGTTTCAGTTCTGTAGTCAGCCATCGAGGGTTAGCTTTTCAGCTTGTCTTTACCTGACTACTAATTTAGTCACTTTATATTCCACATATTAGTGACATCATCTGGTATTTATCCTTCTCCTTTGGATTTATTTCACTTAGGATGATCCTTCCAAGCTCCATCCATGTTGCTAAAAATGGCATGAGTATCTTTTTTCATTGCCGAATAGTATTCCATTGTGTATTATACATATCACATCTTCTTGATCCACTCATCTGTTCTGGGGTACATAGGTTGTTTCCACAGTTTAGCTAAAGTAAATAGCGCTTCAATAAACATCGGAGTGTAAGTTTCATTTCGAATTAGTGTTTTTGAATTTTGGGGGTAGATGCCTACGACTGGAATTACTGGGTTGAATGCAGATCCATGTTTAATGTTTTGAG